CCTGGTGGGGGTGGGGGGGGGTCGGGAGTGGGGAGAGCTGCGCCTCTGCTGTCTCAGCCCTGGTCCTTCCCCTTCTTTCCTGCCCAGAGGGCTGCAGAGCTGGGGGAGGCGGGGCCCTGGCCGGGGAGGAGCCTACACCCGAGGTACCTGTTCTGGATCAGATTCGAACCCGGGACCCTTCTGGTCCACAGGCCGACGGTCTACCCACTGAGCCACACCGGCCGGGGCTGCTTTATCCCCTTAACGAACGGGGCGTCCGACCCCCTAGACAATATAAGGCAGATGTCAACCCGCCTCCGTCCCCCTCCCTTCCCCCACTAATTTCCCTAATCAGGGGGCTCCAGCCAGCAGCGAGGGCCAGGGGGGGCCTTAGGGAGCCCGCGAACCCCCACCCGTGTATTCCTAAGCCCCCATTTTTTTAAAAACGAGAAGAGCCCAGCTTTGGTCGGAGGCTCAAAGGCGACTCCAGGAGGCTGAGACCCACCGTGAATGGAGCTGTGTGTTGGGGAGTGAACCCCGGGACCTGGACCCGGAGGAGTTTGCATTTGTTTACGCGGAGTGTGACGTCACGCGGGGGCGGGGCGAGGGCCTGGCGGGCGCGGGGTCCCCTCCGCTTCCCTTGCTTCTTTGGGGGGCGGGGGCCGGGGGATGCTCGCCGGTGGTAAGGGCCAGGTTGAACCCCTGGGATACAGTAGCCAGCGGTGCCTCCTGCCGCCCTCTAAGGTGGTGCCTGGATTTTAGAGAGGCTCGTCTAGCGAGAAAAAGAACTGCAGTTGACAGAGCGCATTACCCTCCCGGCCACTGGTCTCAGAATATGTATTTTTCTCCTTCAAGGTGCAAAACAATCAGGTAGCACCATCATTTTAAAAAATAGGTTTTTATTGATTTCTGAGAGGAAGGGGGAGAGAGAGCGAGAGAGAGAGAGAGCGAGAGAGAGAAACATCAATGATGAGAATCATCTATTGGCTGTCTCCTGCACCCCCCCCTACTGGGCATTGAGCCCAGAACCCGGGCATGTGCCCTGATAGTTAACTGGGGCCTGTGCCCTGACCAGGAATTGAACGGTGACCTCTGGTTCATAGGTCGTTGCTCAACCACTGAGCTATGTCAGTTGGGCAGTGGGTGGCTTTATATACTAGAATGATGAGCACTCTTGGGTTTCTATAAAACATAAACATTTAATTCTTGTTTTTACTGAAGCCATATATACACACACAGAATCATATTTCTACTTGAGGCCTGGTGCACAGAATTCGTGCACCAGTGGGGTCCATCTTGCCAGTTCTGATGGGGGCTGATTGGGGGTGGGGTCAGTGGGGGAAGAGGACGCAGGAGGTTGGCCGCAGTCCCTGCCCCCGATTGGAGTAGGGGGGCCTATGGGGCTGGATCAGCTGGTTGCCCACAGCAGTGTGCGGCTGGTTGTTCTGCAGTTGGGTTGCTGGGCTTTTATATCTATAGATATATAGATACGGCTTATTACAAAGACAGAGCCGCTCCCGCCACACACATACCAACTGCCTATTCCTTCGGGACCACTCCCGACTCCTCTGGGTTTTCCTTTGGTGTTGATTTCTGTGCCTTCAAGTAGGGTTGCTTTCATCGACACGTCCTGAGTTTATTTTGTGTGTGTGTGTGTGTGTGTGTGTGTGTGTCCTGAGTTTTTAAAGTTTTTAACATTATTTATTGGCTCTCTTCTTACCTCTGTCCTAACCCATACACACGGCCCATTCCTACACCCTTTGCAACAGGCATCATGGCATTTGTTCACTTCACGATGAGTATCTACACTTTTGTGCCTGTGCAAGTGTGGCTCAGAGCTGCCCTACATCGCCCTAGTTGCTGTGGCTCAGTGGATAGAGCGTCGGCCTGCGGACCAAAGAGTCCCAGATTCGATTCCAGTCAACGGCATGTACCCCGGTGGCAGGCTCCTCCCCGGCCCGGGCCCTGGTCGGGGCGCGTGCAGGAGGCAACCCATCGATGTGTCTCTCTCACGTCGATGTTTCTCTCAGTCTTTCCCTCTCTCTTTTACTCTCTCTAAAAACCAATGGAAAAATATCCTTGGGTGAGGATTAAAAAAAAAAAGCTGCCCTACATTTTTTGCCATGATCCCTCTTCTTTCTTTCACAATCCAGCCAGCGTGTCAGGTTCACTATCGCCCAGGCCATCTCCAGCGATCCCTCCCAGGGCCTCTGACCCACTTCCATCTGGCCCGGTGGCTGCTCTTGGCGGCGGCGGCCGGGTGGTGCCTGGGGAGGGCCCGTGGCCACCGCCCCGGGACTCCTGGCCTTCTGGCCGATGGGAGCCTCGTCCTGTGGCTTCCCCGGTGTCTTCTTTCCTGGCTGAGCTCCTCCTGGTAGCTCCCTGAGAAAGGCGGTGTGAGAGGTTAGTCTCCCGAGACCGTGCATGTCGAAGGATGGCCCTCTCTGCCCTCACAGTTCAGCGAGGTGGTGGCTGGGAAGGGAATTCTGGGTTGGAAGGAGTTGTCTCAGTATCTGGAGGCATCGCTGGGCGGGGGGTGTAACTTGTGATGTTGCCGGCACAGTTTCGGCTCACTCTGATCCTTGTTCTGTTGTAGACGGCACCTCCCCAGCTTGGGAACCTGTTGGTGGCTTCTCTCTTCTAGTGGAACTAGTGTTTTGTAATTTAGGGGAGGTTTCTTGCGTTCTCTCTCTCTCTCTCTCTCTCTCTCTCTGTCTGTCTCTCTATATCTGAATTACTTAGTTGGATGTTCACTTTGGTAGAGTCAAGGTCATTGTCGATAGGCATGACAGGTGATCTATCAAGGCCCCTGAGTTGGACTGCCCGTGCAGGGGTCACTGTACTTTAGAGGGAACACGGAGCCCGGCCGGTGTGGTTCAGTGGTTGAGCGTCCACCTGTGAACCAGGAGGTCAGGGTTCGATTCCCGGTCAGGGCACGTGCCCGGGTTGTGGGCTCCATCCCCAGTGTGGGGCGTGTGCAGGAGGCAGCCGATCCATGATTCTCTCTCATCATGGATGTTTCTATCTCTCTCTCCCTTCCTCTCTGAAATCAATTAAAAAATATATAAAAAAAGAATCTTGAACCACTAAGTCATCTAAAACTTTGTAGCAAAAGCAACTCTCTTCTTGGTAGAGGACCATAGATTCCTCTTACCATGAAAAGTCATCACTTTAGATGCCCCATAAGATGTTGTCTGCCTTTCTGAGTATCTGTCACTACTTCTGCTAATGGCTTCTAGACAAGTGTTTGCTATGCATCAGCATCACCTGGAATGCTTGTTAAATAACAGATTATTGAGCCACCGCCCCCACACTGCACATATTGTATTTTGAAGTTAAAAAACAAAACGGGAACAAATACAGTATTTGTATTTGCATGTGGCCCGCGGGCCGTAGTTTGAGGACCCCTGCTTCAGACCCACGACTGGGAGGGTGGCCTGGATGCAGTGGAGCCCTTATTTGGAGGGAAGTGTAGGCTGCCAGGGAAGGAAGGCTCACAAAGGGTTTA